TATGTGATTTGCGAGTTATTGTATAGTGAGCAAGTTACTCGGTGCCAGAGGCGGACCCAGGATCTGAGCACGACGGGGGCACCGTTGTATACTAGCCACTAGCGATAAAATTCAGCTTTCAACTCTTTGAAAACTTAATAATTATGATGACTTATCCTCCAAGTATAAACAAAAGGAAGTTCTAAAGAAAAAGAAAGCACTTCGCAAAATGGGTGTTATGGGAAGAGAAGGTATTTGATTAACCATGTTTCATGCTTTCAAATTTCTAGTCTATATATATATATATATAGGGGGTGGGGGGTCAGTGATCAAAAGGACGTTCAGACTTTAAATTATCCAAAATTTACTCAAGAAATCAAGATTAATGGTATGTTAATAGTCAAAGAACTGAAGAAGAGTTTCAAACTCTTATTTGCCTTGACGCGTCGGAGACAAAGTGATTGTTGAAGAAGGTTGTGACAGAAGAATTTATATTTTTCTATTTGTGGAGCGATAAGTTGCAATTTGAGGCTTTTAATTTTAAGAGAGGGATTCGAAAAAGAAAAATTAATGAAGTTGATTGTTATGTGTTAGCATTAAACTATAATTGAATTAAAAAAAAGATAAATGAAAAAAAAAATTAATTTGCTATTAAGTATAAATTAGAAAGGACTAGAATAAAACTAAAATAGAAAGGAGAAGAAAAACCAAGAAACAAAGGATGAGGAAAGGCTGAAAATCGGTTCGAACCCGCGGCAATTAGGAAAGAACGGAACATAAGCGCCCAAGCCGACCACTTCCCCCGCCAACCCTTTTGTGCATAGGGGGCACAAGCAAAATATTTAAGCGTTCCATCCATATATATATATATATAGAGAGAGAGAGTATTTTTCGAGGTTAACGGGGTCCCGTGACCCCTCAACTCGCCACGTAGGTCCGCCTCTGCTCGGTGCACGCCCAAAAAGTAGAGTGTACGTGTTTCCCCCGAAATTTTCCAAAAAAATATATTTTAGGGTCGTATCCTCCTTATTGGAGTTTTGTTCCATCACTTTATATTATTGAATGTTTTCCTGGTCGAAATAAGTATTTTCTTCTTTATCCACCTGAGATGCGGACCTTGCAAGCACGCTGTGTAGGTACCAAACACACACGCAAGTATACATGGTCGTCAAATGATAAAGTGACTTGAAAGTCGGATGTCGAACTCACAGAGACTTAGATTGATCGTTAACCAAGTAAACAAAAATCAATTAATTGTACAAGACATTTAAGAGTGATATTTTTTTATTAATCTACTATTGCGAAAATTAAACAAATAACAACTAAATTATCACGAATGCAATTTTGTATGACGAGATTTTACTTCAGAGGAGAAGAAAATTACAGGGTTATGGTTGGTTTATCAATCCTATTAAGTTCAATAATCACACTCGTTAATCCAGATTATCTATAGTTGCTAATTAACCGGATCTTTTATATGAATAGCATGTTCCCACAATACTACTCGCCTGCCCACAATATATCAATCATATATTCCTATGGTATTGAGTTTATCATGAACAAATATAATACGGTATTTAATTAAGCAAGACTATTAGGTATATTCCTATCCTAACCGTGAAATCTTGCACCGAGCCACAGGTTCAGAAACAAGCTCTCTCTAATTCTACTCTAATCTAAACACGGCTTTCCCAATCATAGCATATTTAGTAATAGAACTCAACTGCTGGCCAGACAATTAAGCAATTATGCACAGAATTAGAGGAACAACTACAAGATGATAATCTGAATTAACGAAGATGTAATTAATAAACGTTAATAATCATGTCAATCACAACCCTAGAACTAGAGTGCTTAGCCACTCATGCTCGTAGTAATAATTTTTCAAGTATTTTGCATAAACAAATTACAAAGAAAAGAAAAAGGGATGAAGAACTCTATGATTTTCTCCTCCGAAAGTTATCCACGTGATGTCCTTGCCTCTCGTCGCCAAAAAACTCCCTCAAAGTGGTATTTTTAGGTCTATTTGTATGTGTAGGAAAAGACCTAAACATGAAGGTCAAGTCCTAGTCAAACCAGGAGACGAAATAAATCTTCAAAACTCAGAATGGATCTTGCTCCAGGCCTGGCATCGCCAGGCATAACGCCTGGTGGACCTGGCCCCAGGCCTGGCGTCGCAAGGCATAACGCCTGGTGGACCTAGCCCCAGGCCTGGCGTCGCCAGGCATAACGCCTGGTTCAGCTTGCCTTTGCCTTGCCTCGCCGAGTCTAACTCCTACTACAAGCCTGGTGTCGCCAGGCTAACGCCTGCGTTAGGGCTGGCTTCGCCAGCTTTCTCCTTTTCACTGTTCTCGAGCACACTTTTAGCGTTTAAGCATCCCTTTTGCTCTACTTTCATCTTCAATTTACCTACACATAAAATAGACTCATTACGCGCAAATAAAGTGTAATTAATCATTAAAGCATGTAAAATGCAAGGCAAGTAATGTACGAAACTATGGAATTATAGCCCCACACCAATACCTCACACCTAAACATTGCTCGTCCTCGAGCAATCAAACTATACTTATAGACACAATCTTTTTAAATAATCCTCCTAGCTCATCACACCAAGAATCTTTAAAATAGACTAAGCACAAGGGTGTAACATCTTCACCTCAAGATTTGATTCACAAGTGCCATGCATTATTTCATAATTCACTCACTTACTCTAACATAGAGGTCAATGACATTACCTTTCCTTCATGAATCAAGTGCCTCACACAACAAAAGCGAGTATTCTACACACAATAAAATTTAAGAACAATTAGAAACTCAAGGTAGAAAGAATTCGCTCTCTCAGAAATGACATTCATATGCTACAAAAGATGCACCATAGGCTTGCATGTAGTGTACAACTCTACTAATCGAGCTCATTCAGTGTAAGATCAAGTAGGACTTTCATTGATTGTAATGTAGGTTGCGGGTCGGGTAGAATACATTTGGATATAAGAGTGGCTACACCTCCCTAAGCACTTTAATATACTTTAACATTCAAACTCCATACTTATGTCAAACCATAACTCCACCTTCACATCAATGTATATTAACTCCATATTTCTTTAAGCACAATTACATCAGGGGCAGAGACAGCATTGGGGCTACGGGTTCGGCGAACCTAATAGCTTTGGTTCAAGCCATGTATTTGTATTGAAAAATTCATTAATTAGTTATAAATTAATAATTTAGAACCCAGTAACTTAAAAGGCTTGGATGTTGAACCCACAATCTTGAAATTCTAGCTCCACCTCCGAATTACATCACGAGTCACCACTATCACGGAATACTTTTCACATCAATACAACTATTTTTTTTTCTTATCTTCTTTTTCAATTCAAGTGGCTCTTACTTTTTCAAAACAGTGCACCTTTCTCCTTATTTCATTAGTTCCACTCAAAAGCCAAACCAACCACCCCACACTTTAACTTTTACAAAGTTCATAACAAATTCAAGTGCTCATGAGAGGTGAGAGGTTCAAATAGATGATTAATTCAAACAAATGGGTAAGGCTTGTAATGTGGTTGCCAAAGAAACAAGATTACAGGCTCAACGGGGTTAACTACGATACATAACAATTAGGCGGGTAAAATATATATATATNCACACATATATATATATATATATATATATATATATATATATATTTGGCTCAACAAAGAAATGCCTATATCACTTCCAAGACTGAACAAAACTACTATTTCGCTTTGCATACACATGGGGAAAGTTCTAGACATCAAATGCAATGCACAGAATAACATACAAACGCACACATGGCACATACCTCACTCAAGTTTGGACTCATCAAGACACTCTAATCAACACAGTTAAGCAAATTTAAGATTATACAATGTAAGGTACTTATACAAGAGTAAAAAACTGAGCCTAAGCTTCACAACCAAAGTACTCACTATCCTCAAGGCATAACAAAGTCAAGAGATATTTCTTCAATTCAATTTACATCACCATGACTCCTCTCCTAAAAAAACAAAACTACCTACACCCGGTTCAAATAAAATCCTTGGAAAAGAGCCGCGATACAAAGAAAAACTAAGGGGTAATTACTACACTACCTACAAAGAAAATCTTTTTGTCCTTTTTCTATAGACTTAAATCCCTCAAAAAAACTGTTTAGGAGATCCATCGTCGGAAAAATTCCAATTTTTCTACGTTTTTTTTTATTTTATTTTTGTTTGATTTTTTTTCATAACTACTTCGATACTACACAACTACGAAATCACAAATAAGAATTTAACATTTTTCTACATTCTACAACTAATCATCTAGAGAATTCTCCCACCCCATACTTAAAAGAGTGCAGTGTCCCCAATGCATAATTAAAGCAAAACAATAATAAGGGTGGACAAGAAACTCCCTGAAAAGCCGAAGGCCGAAGCAATAGCGGCTCACGGGTACTCAGACTTTCCCCAAGCATAGTCCTTTGTGTGGCACCTCACACTTAGTTCTCACCATCTAACTTGCTTTTGCACTCTTCCGATGACTTTGCCTCCTATGTTTATAATCCTACAAAACAAAAACAAATACTACAATAATAATAAGAAAAAAATAAAAATAAAAGAAAATAGTAAAGATGGGTTGTCTCCCAACAAGCGCCTTTAACGTCGCAGCACGACACTGCTACTCTGCTCAGGCTGGGCACTTTCTCTTCTTCTTTCACCCATTAAGCCTAGCTTTTTTAAATGCTCTCAGAAGATCTGCTCTTTCATCTCTGGCTCTTTTCTCAATCATCCTTACACACTCAGCTTGCAACACCACCCCCTCCAACTCAGTTGTCCCATCCAAATCACTATAATTCACATCAGGACTCTGCTCTATCCCCTTCAGTTCTACCACAGTAATCATGCACAAGTCCTCATATTGCTTAGGGAGCTTAAGTGCCTTGGACACATTAAAAGTTATTTCCTCATCGCCAACTCTCATCTTCAAGTTTCCTTCCCTAACATCAATAAGCGCTTCACCAATTGCTAAGAATGGTCGCCCAAAATAATGGGTTCTTCCTCATCCGCCTCGTAATCAAGAACAATATAATCAGCAGGAAGAATAAACTTTCCCACTCGAACTAACACATCCTCAATAATTCCTTCTGGCATAACTAGTGACTTATCAGCCAACTGCAAAGTGATTGTAGTAGGTCTAGGCACTCATAATCCAAGTTGCTTGAACAAAGAGTATGGCGTCAAATTTATACTAGCCCCTAAATCACACAGAGCTCTACCAACTTCTTGTTTCCAAGAGACAGAGGAATTGTGAAACACCCAGGATCCTTCAACTTAGGAGGGAGTTTACTTTGAATCCTGGAACTACACTCTTCAGTAAGTGCAACTGTTTCAAACTCCGTATGTCTTCGCTTATTTGCCACAATATCTCTGAGATACCTTGCATACTTAGGCACTTCCTGCAAAATTTCCACCAAAAGCAAATTCACACTCACATGGCTCAAAATATCTAAAAAATTCTTGTACATAGCATCATCTTTTTGCTTTTGCAATCTTTGTGGAAACGGAGGTGGTGGCCTTGTCACAATTTCTGGCTTTTCTTTCTTATTCTCCTCAACGGGCTTAGGAACTAATTCTCCTTCATGTCTAGCTGTATACTTCCTTTTCTCTGGAACTTCTTCTAATTCTCTTCCATTTCTCAAGGTAACCGCATTGACTTGAGCCTTAGGATTAGGTTCAGTATCACTCGGGAGAACTCCAGCAGGTCTAGTATTTAGATTGTTAGCCATTTGCCCAAACTGCCTCTCTAGATTTCTGAACTCTGTGCGCAATTGCTGATTGTCTATCAAGAGCTTTTTCATCATGTCAGTCAAAGTCTCTTCTGCTTGCTGTGGAGGTTGAGGTGGATGATTGTAATTCGCTTGAGGATTGATATTCTGATTTCCACCCCAAGAGAAGTTAGGATGATTCCTCCAGTTCCGATTGTATGTGTTACCATATTGAGCATTTTGATTCATCGGACCTCTAGCTTGTTGCCCCACGTAGTAGATGGATTCAGGATTCTCGGGGCATATGTCACTTGTGTGACCTTCATCACATAACTCGCAGCAAGTAGACATCTGTTGCACATGTTGCATCTGTTGTGCATGGTGCATTGTCATTTTATTCATCTGATTAGCTAATCTCGATATTTCTGTCCTCATTGCTGAGAAGTCATCAAGCTCGATCACCCCCGTTGCCTTTTGTGTAAGTGATCTTCGTGGTTCCCCATCTCTTTTCCAATTATTATCATTAGTAGTGAAATTGTTTAGCAGGATCTGGATCTCACTATACGGTGTTGCCATGCAGCTACCCCCACATGCTAGGTCAAGATTCATCTTTGCTGCCTCATCCAACCTATCAACGAAAGTGTGACCCAACACCTCATCAGTCTGACAATGATGTGGGCAGTCTCTGAGTAGCTTCTTGTACCTTTCCCAAGCTTGTCAGAGAGTCTCACTATCTCGTTGTTAAAACCCCAAAATCTGGATCCTCAGTGAGTTTGTCTTCTTTGTGGAAAAAAATTTGATTAAGAATTTCCTTGCAAGATCATCCCAATTGTGGATTGAGTTCGCGGGTTCCTTTTGTAACCATTCCTTAGCTTCCCCCAGCAGTGAGAAGGGGAACAATGTCAGCCTGACATGTCCTTGGAAACGTTCGGATAATTGTAAGTGTCTGTAATTTCCAGGAAGTTCTGAATGTGCCTTTGTGGGTCTTTATGAGATAAGCCAACATATTGCTCTGTGGACTAAATCAGATGTACCATGTACTGTTTGACTTCAAAGTGACCCATGATATCAGGCTTCACAATCCCCTGAGTCATAAGAGCCAGATTGGGCCTTGCAGCTTCTATCACCGGACGCTCTTCATTACCTGCCATCTCTGCTGGCTGTGGTTGAACTACGATGTCCAACTCTCTTTCAATTATAGTTCTAGCTTCGACTTCCCTCCTCACTCTATGAAGTGTTCGTTCAATTTCAGGATCAAGAGGAAGGAGATTATTTGCGCTTCTACTCCTCCACATTCAAGAAAAGAGCCTGCGTTATCACAAATAAAGCAAACTAAAAAAATTAAAACTCGAACAAATAATGAATACAAGCTTAACTTAACTAAACAATCAATAATTAAGTCCCCAGCAACGGTGCCAAAAACTTATGGGACCAAACACACACGCAAGTATAATTGGTCGTCAAGTAATAAAGTGACTCAAAAGTCGGATGTCGAACCCACAGAGACTTAGATTGATCGTTAACCAAGTAAACTAAAATCAATTAATTGTCCAAGACATTTAAGAGTGATATTTTTCCATTAATCTACTATTGTGGAAATTAAACAAATAACAACTAAATTATCACGAATGCAATTTTGTATGACGAGATTTTACTTCAGAGGAGAAGAAAATTCCAGGGTTGTGGTTGGTTTATCAATCCTATTAAGTTCAATAATCACACTTGTTAATCCAGATTATCTATAGTTGCTAATTAACCGGATCTTTGATATGAATAGCTTGTTCCCATAATACTACTCGCCTGCCCACAATATATCAATTCTATATTCCTATGGTATTGAGTCTATCATGAACGAATATAATACGATATTTAATTAAGCAAGATAGTTAGGTATATTCCTATCCTAACCGCGAATTCTTCCCCCGAGCCACGGGTTCAGAAACAAGCTCTCACTAATTCTACTCTAATCTAAACACGACTTTCCCAAGCATAGCATAGATAGTAAATAGAACTCAACTGCTGGCCAGACAATTAAGCAATTATGCACAGAATTAGAGAAACAACTACAAGATGATAAACTGAATTAACGAAGATGTAATTAATAAACGTTAATAATAATGTCAACCACAACCCTAGAACTAGAGTGCTTAGCCACTCATGTTCGTAGTAACAATTTTCCAAGTATTTTGCATAAACAAATTACAAAGAAAAGAAAAAGGGATGAAGAACTCTATAATTTTCTCCTCCGAAAGTTATCCACGTGATGTCCTTGCCTCTCGTCGCCAAAAAACTCCCTCAAAGTGGCATTTTTAGGTCTATTTATATGTGTAGGAAAAGACCTAAATGTGTAGGTCAAGTCCTAGTCAAACCAGGAGACGAAATAAATCTTCAAAACTCGGAATGGATCTTGCCCCAGGCCTGGCGTCGCCAGGCATAACGTCTGGTTCAGCTTGCCATTGCCTTGCCTCGCCGGGTCTAACGCCTATTACAAGCCCGGCGTCGCCAGGCTAACACCTGCTTTCGGCCTGGCTTCGCTTGCTTTCTCCTTTTCACTATTTTTTAGCATACTTTCAACGTTTAAGTATCCCTTTTGCTCTACTTTCATCTCCAATTCATCTACACATAAAATAGACTCCATTACGCGCAATTAAAGTATAATTTATCATTAAAGCATGTAAAATTCAAGGCAAACAATGTACGAAACTATGGAATTATCGCCCCACATCACGCTGTCTCTAAAATTTTTTCTTCCAAGGTCCTAAAATAATATTTCCTCTATTTAATTTCTATGCAGATTTTCTATTTTGGGGACCTTTAAAATATCTAACATCTTTATGCTAATAACAACTTTATACATGTATCTTTTGTGATTTTCAAAAATTCAAATTCTATATATATATATATATATATATATATATATATAGATATATAAAATTCAATTAAACTATACATATATATATATTTTAAAGATTGGACTTTTCCCGACGATGGATCTATTAGACAATTTTCTTGAGGGATTTAAGTCTAAATAAAAAGACAAAAAGATTATCTTTTGTTAGGTAGTGTAGTAACTACCCCTTGATTTTTCTTTGTGCCGCGGTTCTTTTCCAAGGGTTTTGTTTGAACCGGGTGTAGTTAATTTTTTTTTTGGGAGTAGGAGCCATTGTGTTGTTTTTTGAATTGAAGCAATTTCTCTTGACTTTGTTATGCCTTGAGAATAGTGAGTACTTTGGTTGTGACGCTTAGGCTCAGTTTTTGACTCTTGTATAAGTACCTTAAATTGTATGAGCTTAACTTTGCTTAACTGCTTTGACTAGAGGGTCTTGATGAGTCCAATCCTGAGTGAGTTATGTGCCATGTGTGTGTAAGGTTTTGCGTAATTCTGTGCGTTGTATTTGATGTCTAGAACTTGCCCCGTGGGTTTGCAAAGCGAAATAGTAGTTTTGTTCAGTCTTGGAAGTGATATAGGTGTTTCTTTGTTGAGCCAGTGATATGCTTTCACCACCTAATTGTTATGTATCTTAGTTAACCCCTTTAAGCGTGTAATCCTGTTTCTTTGGCAACCACATTACAAGCCTTACCCATTTGTTTGAATTAACCATCTATTTGAACCTTTTCACCTCTCATGAGCACTTGAATTATTATGAACTTTGTAAAAGTTAAAGTGTGGGGTGGTTGGTTTGGCTTTTGAGTGGAACTGTTGAAATAAGGAGAAAGGCGCAGTATTTTAAAAAAGTAAGAGCCACTTGAATTGAAAAGAAAATGAAGGAAAAAAATAGTTGTATTGCTGTAAAAAAAATATATTCCTTGATAAGTGTTGACCCTTGATGTAATTTTGCTTAAAGAAGTATGGGGTAATATACATTGATGTGAAGGTGGAGTTTTGGTTTCACATAAGCATGAGCTTAAATGTTAAAGTATATGTATTAAAGTGCTTAGGGAGGTGTAGTCACTCTTATATCCAAATTTATCCTACCTGTCCCGCAGCCTACATTACAACCAAATAAAGTCCTACTTGATCTTAGACTGATTGAGCTCAATTAGTAGAGTAGTACACTACGGGCAAGCCTATGGTGCATCTTTTGTGGCATATGAATGTTATTTCTGAGAGTGAGTGAATTCTTCCTATCTTGAGTTCCTAAGTGTTCTTAAATTTTATTGTGTGAAACTACTCTCTTTTGTTGTGTGAGGGCACTTGATTCATGAAGGAAAGGTAATGTCAATGACATCTAAGTTAGAGTAAGTGGGTGAGTTATGAATAATGCGTGGTACTTGTGAGTCAAATCTTGAGGTGAAGATGTTACGCTTTTGTGCTTAGTCTATTTTAAATATTC